AATAGCATCATATGACCCCTTTAATGTGGAGGTACATTTTGAGAGTTGGTTTAAGAAATGTATTTGTTTACAATTAGCATTTTAGAGTATTGACTCTTTCAAAACAAGATAACATGCATTCCAAAATATTTGTTTGTGCACAATCTGACAAAGTAGCAAATGTGAAGTTAGTGAAGAGAAAAGACTTTACATAAAACACACAATAGCGAATAATGGAATTCCATTCCATCAAATGTAAGTGTAATTTTAGTACATAAAATAATAAAATTCGTTATGACTCATACATAATTCAAATGCTGCGCAGACAAGACTCTGGTCTACACCAAATGCTCCAGTATAAAAGCCACATACACCTCAAATAAAAGCATTAATTTCTATTTTTCATACAGTTTTTTTTTTGTCTGTTTGTTTTTATACTCTTTTTAACAGATGGAACAGTGACAGATGAAGCTGGATGTTCCACAGCCTCCAATGAAAATTAGAGATGTATGTTACTTGGAGGTGAGGATGCACTCATGGATTAAGCATGTGGCACAATCCTGGGAGAAAGAGAGAACAGGGATGCATTTCAATTTGGAGAATTGAAGCCCAGGAATATTAAAACTCCATTCCATTGGCTGGAACACTTGAAATCATACTTCTTTTTCAAAAATGGTGTCAAATCTCTGAAAAATGACTACTTTGAATCACTGTTGTTTCCTGGGCCTCATGCCTTTCTGTTAGTACACAGAGATGTGGAAAAACTCTGGTAGAGAGAATTACCTTTTACATGCTCTTAGTGATGTGTTCGGGGAGGAGGTCTTGGACTCTTGCATGGTATTATTTATAGATGAGGCTAAGCACAATGATCCAAAACATAACTACCGTTTGAAGATGTGTGGAGGCAGATACCACATTTTACAGAACACTGACCAAAGTGTTCATCAGTTATTTAACAAAACAGAGACAAATGGCACAGTGGAAAAGCAGCCGTTTTTTCACAAATCATTTAGAGTGTTTCAGAAAAGCTGAAAATTATTTTCAAACAGAGTATGAGGAAAAGAAGAATAAACTAAGAAGAGAATAGGCAGAACATAAAGAAAGTGCTGAAAATCTAAAGAAGGAACTACAAAGTAATCTGACTGAAGCAAACGTTAAAGAAGCATTTCTACTTTCAAAATTAAAATTAGAATGCAATATGATCCAGACAAGTCAAAGAAAAAGAGCTGCGTGAGAAAGAGAGAGAACTGGATAGAAGAGTCAAGGAACTGGATGAAAGACAGAAGCGGCTGGAGATCAGAGAGAGAAATGACACGGAGAGATATCCGAATCATTGAGCATTATCAGACCACAGCAGCTACTCCGTCTGCTGGTGAGTATTTTCAACATCTGTTATCTGTACTGTTATCTGCCAGTGACTTTCAATATACATTACAGCCAATTCAATTCAGGTATTAGCATTAGAGGTTTGAGTACGCAGACAGTGTTCTATATAAAAAAAAAGTGTATTATAGTGTCTAAGGGCAGGCCTCTAGATGAAAATGAAGAAGAGCTGAACAACAGAGATGATTCACTATTTTGGTACTATTATATTCAATCAATCTTTCTCTAAAAAAAGATCCCCTACCCTAAATGCTTTAGGTGAGATTTTCACTATCCGTTATCTGTTCAGTCATTATTATTAATTAAATGAGTCAAGTATTGGAGGTTTGTATAGGCTACTGAAAGATCATCCTTTAACACTGCCCCCTGATCGTGAAGGAGAGCTGGAGAGCAGAGATTATTCACAAGCCAGTGAATCGCAGAAATCTGTGAGACGAAACGGCAAGGAATTTGAGCCACCTTATAGTGAGAGCTCTATTTGAAAAACTGTTACAATTAAAATCAGCCGTTCTCTGAAAGCTAAATGCTTAAAAAAAATAATAATAAAAAAATATCCAAAAGTATTTGTTCCTTTTTTTAGTGTCTTAATGTGAGCACAGGCCATAGATTGAGACTGCCCTGAGGTGAGTTTAAGGATTTTATAGGTTTCCTCTTAAAGGGATATTAAAAATGAGTAAAATTCTGTCATTAACTCGTCCTCCAAACCTGTGTGACTTGTGCTTGGAACACAAACAAACTTACTCTGCTGCTTTCTTGCAGACAGTGACAGTTCATGGCAACCATCTGTCAACCTCTGAGAAAGACACCATGAAGGATCATAAAAGTAATCCTTACTAGCCTATATTTTAAGTTTTCTGAAGTCACATGATAGCTTAATGCAAAGAGCATTGAAATGTACGATATGGCATTCCAGTTTATACAGAGCAGGTTTGTATGAATTGTGCCTATAAACTAGTGCCAAGCTCATTTTTCTGTGCTCATATAGTGAATTACGTATATTTATACCGTTTTTTTTTATAATTTGTTTTTGCTATTAGCCTCATGTATTGTTTATTTTAATATGCATTTTCATATATTAGGTATTATCTTCAGAATTTTCAGTTTCTTTCTTTATATTTTTATGAAATCATTAGTTTTGTTGACAGTGCTTTATATTAAAGCATTTTTTCCACCCCTCTGGAATAAATACAATTTTGGAGTAGTTAAAATGGGTCCATGCTGATTTCCACATACTGTCCCCATAGTCATCCCTGCCAACAATAACAATACATTAACATTAAAGAGTAGCCTGATGTAAGTAAATATAACAAGCTATGAATACAAAATAACCTCCCCCACCCCCAATAAAAAGCACTTGAAACAATATATTATTCCTAACCTTTTTATTTATACAACATTTCATTTTAAAATTTGTATATTTTTACTTGTATAGTAGTATCACTTTAGACACGTTTAATGTTTTTGAAAGAAGTCGCTTATGATCATCAAGTCTGCATTTATTTGATCATAAATACAGAAAGAACTACAATATTGTGAAACTTAGAAAAAAAAATTTAAATAATGGTTTTCTCTTTTTACCATACTTTAAAATATCTATTTCTGTGAGTCATACTCTCAGTAGTATAGAGTAGCGTTTGTAGTTTCTCATTTCTCCGATCACAAATGCAGACGATTCCTTCCCTTTCTAGCTTGTACTTATTTGAACAATGCCTAAAACTTGGTATTACGGGCACTTCCTGTGTCTGTCTGCCTCTTTAAGAAGAATCGCTTTATGTATTCCCCAGTTGTAAGTCGCTTTGGATAAAAGCGTCTGCAAAATAACTAAATGCAAATGTTCTTGTCCCTGTGAGGTGTCTTGGTACATTATTTAAATGATTATATATGCCGTTTTTAAAATTATTTTATTTTATGGCTTTGTTTTTAATTGTATGGAACAAAAGTGTTTGGTCCTGTGCTACATCACGTGACTTGTCAGTTTTGTGCACTTGCTTGGCCCTTTGTTGTGTACTGTGTGTCTTGCTGAATTCAATTACAATTTATCAGACGGGTATAAAAAAAGGTTAGTATAGTACCACGGCAGTGGTTGCAGCAGCCCTCCTCGTGTGAAAACTGAAGAGTGTAAAGACCAGCGACTCTACCTGTGTGATTCCACCGAGCAAGGACACTGGCAAGTGACTTGAGTATTGTTTCTTATTCATCCTCTTTCCTACAACTCATTTAGCTTCTGTTACAGTTTTTATGACCAGTCTTTACTTTGTGTTTTTAAATCCCTACTATTTCTACCACTCGCAAACCATGCATCACACACTGTAGGCAGTGCAATCCTAACAACCTGCGCATTTTGCCTATGTCCACTAATACACTACTTTCTTTTTCTATTGGTGTCTGGAATTGCCAGTCTGTTGTAAACAAAGCAGATTTCATTACATTTATTACTAGTCATTCAAGGCTAAACCTCATGGCCCTGACAGAGACCTGGATCAAACCAGAGGACAATGCTTCACCTGCAGCACTCTCCAATCATTTCATTTTCCACACTCCCCGTCTGACTGGAAGAGGTGGTGCTGGTCTGCTTATCTCTAATGATTGGAGATTTAATCCTTTACCATCTCTGGGTACCAACAGCTACTTTGAATCACATTCAGTTACTATCACCTATCCTCTTAAAATCAAGTTTGTTGTTGTTTTTCGACCACAGTAAAATATAACGACTAAAGTAGTTTTTTATTTGTTTGCTCCATAGTGTGGAAGTGAACACATACCTCTCTCTCTGAATGGACAAAAGGCAGTTTGATGATTAGTCAGCTTTCTAAGGCTTAAGTTTTACTTAATATTTAACAGACTCTTCAGAATGTCTTCAAAGTGAGAGAGGCTGAATGTTAAAAACGCCTGCAGGTGTTAACTATGGACAACATAATGACTTGTAAACAAACATTTCAATGAATATTTACAACCCAGGGATATGTAAATGACTGTTTACCTACTAATGCTAAACAGGCATAATATATTTATATGTAGTTTTCACACACTGCATGTCTTATATGAACAATCATTATAATGAAAAGATGATTCAAATCCTACTTGGGAGAAAGACGCTCCGCAGGACGAGGCATCTACCACATATTCCACAGATCGATTCAAGTTACGTGCACAAATAAAAGCCTATAGTGTGTGTGTGTTTGTTGAATTTCTGTCTCTGATAAATTCATTTACCCATTAAACTGTGCAATTTAATACCAGCACAAATATCAATATGATGTAATAGAATAACGTACACATGAATTGCATATGACAAATATTACATTTTTCTGAAATCATTTGTATTCTTCATATTACTTGTATGACTGGGTATCTAAAATGTAACTGAATAAGTCCGAATTAAAACATATTCGTAAAGTAAGATCTGGGGGATCGAACATTCCGACATGCAAAGTAAATCGCGCACGTGACTGGACAGAAAGTGAAGCTTGTCATTGGTCACGTGATTTCTACACAAGCTTCGAATCGAGGCCTCATCTAGCACGCCCATTTTTTCTCCACACAAGCTCCGATGCCTCGGTTCACATGTCACATCACTAGCGACAGCACAGGCACGCCACGAGCAGGGTTTCGTTTCTTTCACTTTCGAAACAGGCTTGTTTGCGGAAGTTCGTCCTGGGCCCAAAATAGGTTTATTTTGAGTTTTTCAAACAGTTGATATTTTGTTGCTTCATTGCATGTTTTATTCATTCTCTGCAGTATGGCGAGGAGAAGTAGAGGTCAGTAAATTCTACTTTCTACACGATTTACTCTCACTTTTGATCTTGCTTTGAGAAAGTAAATGTGTCCTGCAGTAAATTCCACTAGTGAATTAACGTTTGTCAGGCATAATAATCTGGTAATTATGGCCTATATAACGACTAATGCAAGTATGATATTAAATAACAAAACTTGATTATTTGTATTTGACAGGTCGCAGTGACGAGACTGAAATGCGTAAGTTCTCCTTCAAATAATTATGGCAAACATTAATAACGTTACTTAACCATAACTTATGTATGTATGCATGTACGTAATGTATTTATTTACAGAACCTTTTTAGTGTTTACAAAGTGCTGTAAGAAAGACATGCATGTACAGTACATAAACATTCACATGCATAAAGAAGGAGATACCAATAAGAAATATTTGTAAGAACAATGTGTAATTTAATATATATATATATATATATAATTTCATAAATTCTTTTCATAAAAGGTTGGGAAAAAAATAAGACAGCTAACTGAATGTGAAAATGTGTAGCCTACACATGATAAAAACTTAATTGAGGAATTCCTGGAATGTTAAATGACAATGTGAAACATTTACGGAGATAAATCATTGTATGAAGTTTAGGGTTAAATGTACAAATCAGGCTGTTGTCACACTGTCTCCTTTTCTTATTACAGGTCCTCTCTTGAACGATGATGGTAAGTTGCCTAATTTGGAGGTTCATTTTGAGAGTTGGTTTAAGAACTTAATTTGTTTCCAAGTAGCATTTTAGAGTAGTATTGACCGATAATAATTTCAAACAAGAAATATGCATTCCAAATCTTTAACGTTCTCAATCAGGCTGTAAAAAGTACTGATAAATTCTAGTTATAATGTACTGAGTCAAAAGATTATTAAATTGCAAGTCAATTCAATTTTAAAGTGAGCTTTCTCATATTTAGAAATTGATAGATGCGATCAAGAATCCAGGAGTTTTTCATATTAAAGTAACTTTTCAAAAGTCATAGTGTCCTGCATGACTTTGTAAATGTAAAAAGTCTCAGCAGTACTTCAGTACAAAATTCCAAAAAATGCAGTAGGCTATTATTACTTCATTACTGTAGTACTTCACAACCCTGTAGATAAGACACTTCAGACATAGAATAAGCAGTCATATTATGAATATTAGATTCATCCCTATATATGGTCAAATCATTAAAATATTGTTTTAATTTATCTATCTTGTTTTGATGTACCAAATCACATGTTTGAAGCATCCTCAGCTCTTTTAAGCACACTGGCAGTACATCAAGAATAACTTCTTTAAATTCTAAACTTTTGAAATAGCAGGCCAACATGAATGTGTCTTAACTTCAAGCATGTTCACTCACAGGAGAAAATGATGATGCAGATTTTGAACATACAGCAAACACAGTGCTGTTGACAGTGGGGGACAACCAGGAAAACCCTTCAACAACTCGTGAAATACAATGTATGTATTTATAGTGTGTGCATAATTATTAGGCACGTTGATATTCTGATCATATTTTTTTCCAAGCACATTTTACCAATTCCAAACCACATCAATCTTAATAACTACTATTCGTTTTGTATTTAATCATTTATAAATTATATATAATTGTCTATGAAGGATGGAAGTGAAAAACGCCTTATATTCAGGTGTGCAA